GAAGATTATCATGGTAAATCCTGCACTAGAGGATTTTTCTCCCACCAAGCATGACTTTAACTGTAAGCAAGAGGGAGACAAATACTAAAAGCAAGCTTCAGAAACTGCAAGAAGAGTGAGGTAAAGAGTCAAGACCTTGTCCTGCTCTGGTTCTCTTGATACCTGGACACAGGCGCCTCCGGAGATCAGAGCGGTGCAGGTGCATCCCCTGCTCGCCCCACATCCAGCCGCCAATTGCAAAATCCACTGTACAGCTTCCCAGCAAAGGAGAGCGTCTTCCATCACAGAAAAATCCCCCACCTGGTCAAGATGAAGCTTTATCTACTCGGTGCCACTTAAGCGGTACGAAATCAATGAAAAATGTGAAGAAAAGGAGGAGAAAAGACAGACACCTGGCACCTCAATACCAGGTTGCTTTTGCAGCCGATATACCAACCGAAATTGAGGAAATCAAAGAGAAAATTGATTGGGCACCTCACTGCAAGATCAAGTCTCTAAATAAACGAGACTGCCATATAATAAATCAGTATTATTTAGGTTTCCTTTAAGAAATAGAATATAGACTCAACTATGCACATATACATTTAAAAATACAATTTATACTCCTGAACTTTTTCCCTCAATTTACCAGGACTATTTCTGCCAGTTCTGTTCTGAGCACAGAAATTGTTACCAGATAAGGAATCTGAAAACTGCAATTCTGGAACTTTACCTGAAGACTCGTTATCAGCAGAAAATCTAACAATCTCTGTGCCTCCATCCCTCGAGGCCTGCGTGGATCACCTGCGGCTTTAATATCAGCAGTAATAGCCCAAATAATGTAAAGTGCAAATACTGAAAATGCTTCAGCAATAGCATCCCAGAAAATCCTGTCAATAATTCTGTATTCAGTAAAGGGTGGGTAATATAAAGAAACAAATTCTTTAGACCACTATAGTACACCAAAAACAACTCCAGACCTGACAGCAAACAATTGTCACTCATTGGATTAATGGCTGTCTCATGGTAACGGTCCTGTGTAATGTTATGCAATGTGTAATTAAGCAAATTAAGCTTGATTTTAGACAGCAACGCTGAGAAGTTACCCTGACCCCACCACGGCTGACAGAGTACCATTTGTTGAACAGTCACTTCGTAAAACAATGTGTCTCCTGCACCCGCAGAATCCCTATCTCCTAAAATAAACCACTTCTATCACAAGGTACTTTTGATCCTGGCATTTCTCAGCTTCCACATTAATTTACAACCCTTACAATCTCTTAATATACTCTACCTCTAAATAAGATAGGTACATATTGCCCTTTGAGATACTGAGAGGCATTGTAAGGCTCTTTATTTGTGCTCTGGAAGAAGAATCACATACCCTTCACACCTCTTCAACTCTGAGAGTAACGTTGCCCAGCTTGGATGGGAGCAGGTTAAATGATAACACCTCATTGCATCTCCAGATCTCAAAATATAGCGGCGTATTTTTCCAAATATTGTTTGCTTTCCCTTGGCATTATTGTAACTGCTATTGATTTTGGACTGTTGCTCTGGTAGCGGGGTTTGCTTGGTTTGTTTGTTTGTTTTAATGCATTATGATAATAAATAAGTGTCGTAGCATATGAACTACAATCCTCTACAGCTTCTCTAACTCTTACATACACAAGCGCTGTGTTGTGATTAACTGTATCAAGTACATTTTCTAAACAGCAACTGGAAAGACGAAAGGTGATGACAAGAGGGTGTTTAAGGGATTCATGAATGCTACACAAAAATATAAGCACATGGACATGCTGGTTAACTTGCATATGAAAAAATAAAAGCGAATTTAGTTAAAAAATTGGTTACATTATGGTCCATCTTGCACAGCAATGACAGTTAGTTCCCCTCTGAGGCCATTCACAGCATGCAGAATTCAAAGGACGTGTTCCTTTGTATTTCTGGTACCAAGCATAGTATTGAAGATCATTCCCCCAGGGGGCTGAGTCCCAGCCAGCTCCATCACCACCTCTCATTGCAATACCATAAGATAGTTTCAGAAAGGCTGGGCAAAAAAGAAAATCCACATAAAGTGCAATGGTAATTAATCATGTAATTAATTTATCCTCATTCACAAGTATGCCATATTGAAAAGTCCACCTCTAGGCTGAGCTAAAGAAAAGCTAAGGCAGAGTGGAACTAAAGCAGAAAGATTTACACACAAGATTTTTAAATTAACTTATTTAAGATCCGAGTGTGGCTCTGATAAAGGACAAAATGGCTTTACGGTCAAGTATTTATGTCATAAATAGCATTCGGATCCCCAGAGTTAGTAAGGGCCATCCCCAATAATGCCATCAGAAGAATCTCAGTAACTTACGAAGTCATTCTTGGTACTAGCTCTTTGTTAAGCAACTCCCATCCAGTGCACGTCATACCGACAAAAGACAGTACCACTGAAGAGCAAAAGGTAAGATGTGTTTGTCTACATTGCACTTGCAATGACAATTACTTGAAAAGAACACAAAGGAAAACCAAATAAAAATCTTCTATTACTTGGGGCCTTACTATCTCTGACCTCAATCTCGTTTGCTGATACCGCCAAACTTTTCATAAACCCCTTCTATCATTATTAGCTGTAATTTAAATAATTACTGAGCAGAAGAAAAAAACCTGCTCAACCATAGTTCTCTAATCTAGTAATTAAATCCACCTGTAAGATGCTGAACAATTTGTTTCCAGTGTCTATGACTATCAATGCAGTCAAATATTTACACTAGGTGGTATAACATCACCAGGAGAGACTGAGGGATACAGCTGGAAATTAAGTCACGCCTTGATAAGGTCAGAAAAATCCACCCAAGCTTCTCCACAGACAGAGGTCCCAAATGAGATAGATGTCCCATGCACTACAGGCTGTTGAACATGGGATATATTCTTCCATCACCATTTGTTTTTGGAGTATTCTGGCTGTTTGACTTATTTCAATACGGTTATTATTTTTAGTTAACTCCACTGGAATGACTGACTGAATAGTTTAGATTGACCAAATCCATGAATTACTGTTTAGACAAGCAGTACAGGAACACGCTGGATCATTTTACCTAGCCCTCTGCTGTTGCAGACGAGCACATCATTCAGCCTCTCTCACTGATGTACGAAGGGGCCATTTTAGGATTATTCAGGCTAAGTCTGGTTTAGCTAGCTTGACAACTCTGGTATTAGCAAAAAAACCCGACGACGACATGGTGTCAGCGTGAGGTAAACACCCAGAAACCCAGGGTGCCAGCGATACTCATCCCAGACTGGGTCCCGCGCTGCATTGCTAGCAGTCACCAAACCAGCTGCACCCAAGCAAGCCCACGTTCGCTAAATGATACCGCAGCATCCCCCCGGATGCAGCGCAGAAAATGCATTCCTTCCAGCCACTCGTCGAGTAAATTAAAAACCGCTCCATAACAACTAGATGCTAGTATGCTTGTATTTCTGCAAGGTACCTGTTCAGAACAGGCGTTGCCTTTTCAGGCTGTGCCCGTGGGCAGTGCCCGGTACGCCGTGCCCTCCGTCCCCAGGTAGGTGACGTCGGCGCTCTCTCTCTCCGAACAACAGGAACTGCAATAGTCTCTTTCAGCTAGATACTTTCCTATCTCTAGCTAGACGCGATTGCATCCTGTTGCATTATGCCTCGCTGTGATCATCCATCCCAATTTGATATCTCTGTTGGGTGGTTACTCCTGCAGAGAAAATTTTGGATTTTATCCAAATGATGGAAAAATTTGCCCATTTAGATTACCTGAAGCTGATAACCTTTCTACTGGAAAGCTTCCATCTGGCCAGAAATGGTGCTACTGTATATTTCAGGAATACGATTCCTTTGTGAATGACACAACATTATACTCCAGAAACAAAAATGCAAAACTTATTCAAATCCTCCCGCACAAAAAATGAGCTCTTACTCCAAACTGCAGACATAAATGGAATAGTGGTTCAATTTGTCTTTGGGAAGCTGCCAAAAATGGACAGTGTCAAATGCATTTTTTTCCCCTTGGAAATGAAAATACCTTATCTAATGGTACAGCAGAGAGATCTGTGAAATCACTATACAAATAATACAGAATTTGATGGCAAAGTTCTCTGCCAATATACGTGACTCAATATATTGATACTGTGTTCCACAGTATGTGGGTCATTATGACAACATATCATACTATTATTTTTGTTTAATGATTCCTTAATTATCTCCCATATTCTATTGAAGCATTATATTTTATGCACATAACATATAATGCAAATGTGTAAATATTTTTCAGTATGCCTATATCTATAACATTATATATTATTGTATTATATCATGTCATATTGTACTACCTTTGAGTAACAACAATTTCCTAAGTTAGGATCTAATTCCGTGCTGCAACATGAATGCTTGTTTGTGTTTTGGAACTGAAGATTAATATTGGTTTTAAAACAAGAAAAAATGTTTTACAACAGCCCCTCTTCAAATGAAAATGCACATTCACTCACAGTATTGCTGACATGGTAATACACGGCTGATGATGACAGATAACTGGTTACTTCAATTCTTTGTGCATAGTAAGCAGTCCTGTCAACACAATGAAGTTCTGAGGCAATTGTAAGAGAACTTAGGAAGATTGGTTATGAAATGCAACTACAGAATTAGCAAATAAAAGAACAAACAGTAACGGAGAATAAACATCACCGGAACATAGGCAATCTCACAAAGTTTTTTATGCCCAGCAATCAGTTCTGTATTTTATGTAATATTTTTGTAACTAATTGAACTTTTTGTTATTGCATGTTTTTCATTTCATATAAATGGACCATTAGTCCAATTTGCCAATCTCGTCCATAGAAAACAAGTGTATTGATCATTGGCACAATCAGGCATCTCCTCTTTAAAATTAACACATCTATGCTGTCTCACACATGCTATCTGGCTGCAGAACCCGAGAGAGATTAGAGAGATTTCAAAATAAACCACATCTTAGGGAGAAGAAGTTGTTTTAGAATCCTACCGGAGTGATCAAAGATGACCTGGTTGGCAGGACGTGGGCCTGCATCTACAGATAAAATAGGGACCACCTTCCGAATGTCCCAGAGCTTCATCACGCCGGAGGAGTCACAGGAAGCAATTGTATCACCCTGCCAAAGTTGGAAACAAAATAAAGGCATCACTTGCGTACTTCTGCAAAGAAGAAAGCATATGACACAGGGCTGGATACCCACTGATGCCAGACATAGTAACTGTACGTATTTAAATAAATGCAAGTTACTATATGTGAGTTTGTAACAGCCTCTTAACAACTATGTTGGCTCAAGTAGCAACAATACAATATGACTTTTAAAGAGAACAGTTCAGGAGAAACCATAAGTAAAAAAGAGAAAAAGGATTATTTTGAGTTCTGATACCAGAATCCCCCCCATCACATGGCTTGTGATCATACCTTTTCTTCTCTCAGAGACACAGGAATGGTCCTTTAGCCCTGACTTTTAATTTGTCTACTCATGTTTTCCATGTGAAGCGTATGACTAGAGCAGAACAGACACTCCTCCATCGCTGTACATTCATTAATAGCCATGCTAAGGACAACCTCACTCATTTCAGTGAGCCAGAAGCATGCAGGGACTACCTATACAAGGAAAGATAGCAGGACCATGTCTGCCCCATGCCTGTCTTCAATATTAATTTGAAAGAAAAAACAAACTACAACTAATGAAGTGGCATAAGTATTTTGAACATGTAGCATATGAACAAATGCAAAACTCAAAGAAGGCAGGTAAAGGATGCCCAAACATTACTTTGTTTAGCTAATTCCTGCCACCATAACAGAAAGAAACCCCCAGCTGCTAATGCAGAAACATTTACTTCCCATTTTAACCTCCAAAATCTGAAAACCAGCTCAGCTGGTGTGCACGCAGAGTTATCAAAGTCAATGTCTTTTCCAATTTATGCAAGAGTGTAAGATTAGATTAGATTAAAGGATATTGTTTCGAAGGAGAATCACAATGGTATGGAGCTGAGAATCAGGTAAAACATGGGTTAGATACTGTAATCATTACTTTTTTAATATTAAGTTAACTTTTATGTCTTTCCTGTAAATAATAACTCCACACATTTTCTTGCAGGTATCTAGCAAACAGAGAAATTAAGATCTGAATAATATCCATTACCTTCTCAAGTAGAAAGTAATGGCCTGCAAAGGACTACCACAGTGTAAGTATAATGAAATCTTCAGGTTCATTTGGAGATCTAAAACATCAAAACTCCATTCTGGCTTGTTACAGGGACTAATACAGAATAACACCGAGAAACCAAGTAATCATTGCTTGGAGAATTCAGCTGTCAATGTATAAGCTCTCGGCACTCACTCTTCTGCAAAAAAAGCTCAGTAACCGTAACTACATCCCACCTCGACAGTGGTGCTGAGCATTATGGAAAAGCTATTTCTTTAACTATCTTGCCAGCTGTACCCACCTGATTCTCTTCCATTTCATCTGGCTCCTTTCATGAAGTTCAGCCTATACAAACAATGCGGTCAAGCAGGCCATTTGGGAAACAAACAATAAAAAAAGCCCAAATACAACAGCTACTCTCCAAATTCTTGTATGGCTTGCACTCGATCTCAATAACGCAAATTTTTAGTGGGAAAAAAAAAAGGCATTATCATGGATATGAGATTGGAAAAGTCAACAAATACAGTCCCTTACTCTTACAAGCAATGCTTTCATATGCTTGCTGTGATAAAAGTAATTAATTCCAGATTGGTAACAGTTCCCCCCGATGCTGATCTAGGACCTGCCTGTTCTTGCATTTACAAATCTTTCAGCCCGTAACTATAAAATGAGAGTTTAAAAGTACTTGTTCACATGCAGTCTATATCCTTTAAGTTAAATACAAGGAGTTTTTTGCACAAATACTCCTCCCTTCTTCCCTGTCCCTGATGCATTTCACTTACAGTATCATTCATATTCCCCCTCTATTTTCTGGGCTAAACAGCTAAAGCTCTTCCTTCTGTCCTCCCCACCCTTTTCAGATAGCACGGAATCTGGATTAACTATGAATGTACCCATCACTGACTTTTATAAAGCAACTCTTGCAAAATTGATCACCAATTTTGGAAGCCTATTCTGAGATCCCTGTAACCTGAGTCTGAAAGAGGTGAAAGATGCGTATCTCAGCTGAGCAGAGGTTTCAGTGAAGCGGGAACGCAGCAGCAACTATGGAGTGGGACACACACAATCAAGGGACGTCTCCTTTCCTTAGGTCATTATCTATCACTGCTGTAAAGGGAAGAGGAACTGAGTATATACGTGTAGAAAGATCCCTCCATTCCTCACTGTAAGTGCTCGGCTTCTGGACCAGCTCTCCACACCTCACCATCCTCCCTCTCTTCATATTCTTCTGCAACGATTATGTCCATCACTATCAACAGTCCACATAGGAAATCACTAGTATCATTAGTTATTTATACCCATTATTTCATAACCTCTAATATGACTTTGACATATTCTTGCATGTTACTCCCGATTTTTTTTTTTCTATCCATAAAAGCATTTTAGTAAATAATACCTTTTTGGGGGGTCGTGGTTTTGTTTTCTTTTAGAATATGCCTGTCTTCAAACTTTGTATGTGTTCAGTGTACTTCAGTTCAATAAATGGTCCTTAATTGCAGCTTTGGTAACTCCGCAGTTTTGAACTAGATCAATGGACAGCCCATGTGGGTAAGACTGCACATAACCCATGCAGTGCAGTTACAGCAGACGCTCCAGTGGGTGCTCTGTGACTCCTCCTTATGTCATCAACAGCTGTGTCTGTGGATTTTCAATACGACCTTTCTCTCAAGTAACAGCATGGTTCAGCTAACAGATCATAATAGCACCAAGAATGCTTCACTGAAATAGTTGATTGATAGCAAACATTGATCAGGGACAGTCCCTGCTGCAAAGAGACTGCAACTGTAGAGCTGACTTTGACCTTTGACTGGCCCTGATTAGGGATCATTACTAGTTGCATAATTATGAGGAAAAACAAACCAGATCTACCTTTATTACAGGTTCTTCTTTCTATGAATTTATTTTGCTACAGTAGCTGGCACACCACAAGAGAACATCCATACCCCATCGTCTTTCAATCTTGCCATCTTAATCTCCGCCATATTTATTTTCTCCCATTTCTACCACAGATCCGTAGGAAACACAAGGATCCTCCTTGTGAATGAACACAATGAACCTCCTCTACCGCAGGGATTTACAGAATCAAATCGTTCGTAGGCACCAGATATATCAAACCACCCTAACTTGTTATTTAAACTCTTTCACAAGGTGATTTGTGGCCACATCAAGAAGGATGAGCCCCCCTGATCCTTGCAGATACGATCTGAACAGAAGCAGTGATGGAGAAACCTGGTCTGGGAGCACCACTCCACAGGCTAGGTGCTGTGTAAACAAGCTAGAGAAGATGGTCCTGTTCCAAAGGGTTTACAGGCTATCTTAGTAGCAACAACAACCGGTTCTTGCTGACAAAAGCCTGCAGACTTTTAACCAATCTCCTCCCAGATGCCCGGTATAAACACACTGTGCATAAAGTGCAACACACAGTAGCATTATTTCGCCTGATTTCCATGAAAAGGCAGCAGACCTCATCTGCAAACAGAAGAAAGAAAACATAGGGTTCTGATGGGAACATGTCAACACATGCAAACTTTATCAGCAATAAATATTTAAATAAATGCATTAATTATTACTTTATCAGTAATAATTAATGCATTTAATAATAAGTTTGTGGACAGAGTATGCTGTGGACAGCATACTCTGTCCACAAACTTATTATTAAATGCATTAATTATTACTGATACCTAGGCAGCTGCTACATTAAAAACACACCAAAAGGATTTTGTTAATGAGCCAGCTATTACATTTCGCCACTTTTTCACTTGATATCATCGCTATTACATACCTATTCTAAACCAAGTGAGCTGGAGATGTGGGATAACAACTTTTCAATAGGAAGGAATAAACCAGGAATGTAATAAAGCTTAAGGATAATTTGATGTTACATGCCATTCAAAGAAAAAGAAACCGGTAAGTCCTATGTTAAACGAACTCATTTGCATCTGGCCAGGGGCCATTTTCAAAAACTTTAAAGCGGAATCACTTTGAATTCTCCTATGAGCTTTTGGCTTTTTCATTCCTTTTACAGTTACTATTTTAGTTATTCATGGAAGAGCCCTCTGCCTTGCTCTTAATTTTCTCCCTTCTGTTTTGCCACATTTGAAGTCTTTTTTACGATGTCTTTTGATGACATATTTTACTGAACTGCAAGCTAGACCATGAGGGCTTGACTGATTTGCCTACATGTAAAAGGAGGAGACAATGAGATCCAAGGAGAAAATGTGCAAAAGCAGATTCCCGTGGTACTGATTTTCATTTACACTACATTTTATGCTGAGCCACAGCTCAGTTCTATTACTTCCTCTAATCAAAGAGCATGTAGAACGATTCATAAAACTGGTAAGACTTGCTTCCTATTCTATGTAATCAAGTTAGTACTTTTTTTGTGTGTGCACACTGAAGTAATTAAAGAATTTATACAAGGATTCAATTAGTCTGGATTCAAAGACTGGTTCTGTTCCAGGCTTCACTTAAAGGACTTTGCAAGTCCTTTAATTGCCTTTACAGTTCCACCCTCCAGTCCTTACCTTCCCTGCCAACTTAATGAACATCTTTATAGCACAGAAGACCGCCCATTAACATGGCTATGCTCAGCTCCATATATATCATAATCCCACTCGCAACTTGCAAACCACTGTAACACAAATAATGATAACATCAGGAATTAACAAATTTATGTAATTTCCAGGAATTTTAAAAAATTCGTTTCCTTCTTTAATTTTTTTTTTTAAATGGGACTAATCACCAGGTACACTTTAGGCAAGTATTTCCTGAAAATTGCTGTTTCATATCAGCGATAAGGATAAAAATCTGAATCATTATGTCCCATGCTTATGAACACACCTCTGGATTTATTGCTGAAAGTTCAATAATATATGAACTGCAACAAGTAGCTTTATCTAACTTAGACTCCAATAATCTCCTCCCAGGAGTACCCGCTTCAAAGCTTAATTCCAAAGGCAAGTCAGTAG